TATGAATGAATGAAATAGGAGTTTTACACCGGAATAGTGTTCCTCGTAAGTATCAAGGACTAGATGATGGAGAAGTAGAAAGAAGAACGCTACGAAATATGAATGATGAAGTTGATGAATTAGAAAAAACGAACCAGCTTCGAAATAATGATTTAAAGAACTTTAAGGAGGAAAAGAAAGGTTTACAAACCGAAGAAGAACAGTGTATTACACGTATGAAAGGTACACTTCAATTGATTGAAAATGATCGTAAACAAATGGAAGAATTTAATTAAAAATTAACCGCAATAGACGAAGAACAAGATCAAATGGAAAAAGAAGTTGAAAAACAAAAAATAGATGTTGACGAACATGGAAGAAAATTGCTCGATGAATGGGATCAATTAAACCAATATGAACAACAACGAGACAGATGTGATAATCAAAAATGCGATCTTGAACAAGAGAAACAATCTATTGAACGTGAAAAACTTGAAATTGAACGACAAATGCGAGAAACTCGAGAATATATCAAGCAATTAGAAGAAGCCTTGCAAAAAAAATACAATCGATGCAAACTGGTGAAGAAGATATGGGAAATATTGAACATGAATTAGACGTCATTCTCCAACACTGAAAAAAAAATAAGTATCATACCGAACCTTTTTTGCAACGAATTCTAAACCCTCGGAGGGGTTTCGTATAAACCTTTGATCCCTTCAAAATGATTGTCTTCGATCAAAAAGTCTTTGTTAAAGGTTCGGTAGGGCTTTTTAGGGTATGGTACGAAACCTAAAAAGGTTCAGAATTCGTTGCAAAACTCGAAACCTTTAAAGGTTCCGTACATTGTACGAAAGCCTTTTTTCCTTCACGAAACCCTTTTTTTGTCTACGAAACCCTCTAAGGTTCGGTAATGTGACCATTTTTTTTTTCAGTGAAGATATTGCACATAATGAAGAGGGATTACGTCGCTTGGAAGAAAAACTTCAAATATTAGAAGAGAAATTACTAAAAGTCGAACGAGAATATAATCGATTAGATGCTGAATTAACTCGAATCAATAATCTGATCGAACGTATTGAAAAAGTGATTAAAATCAAACAAGAAGAAACCGATGAATTCAAGCAAACAAATGCTCATCTTCAAGAGCAATTAGAAAAAGCTCGAGAAATGCACATAAAAATTCAGGGAGAAATTCAACAATTGACAGAACAGATTGAACAAAGAAAAACAATCCATTGAACCATTGAAAACTAAATTAAACGAAATATTGAAGAGATTATCGAAAGAAGAAAAAGAATTGCGAATAGCGAAAGAAGCTGCTGATCAATTACACTATGTCACATCTGAATGACTAGATAAACAATGAACATTTCGTTTTTTTTAGACAAAAATTCTCTCAAAAAGAACAAGAATGTGTACAATTAAACATTCAAGAAGATCAAATTAATCAACAACTTCAAAGTCAAACACAAGAATATGACAATGCTGAACGAACGATGCAAGATAAAACTAAACAAATAGAACAATTAGAAGCAGTTCTCAAAGCGATGGAAGAACAATTGCATCGTATTGAAACTGATTTGAAAAAGTCTAATCAAGATTTAGAAAATGAAAAACGACTTTTTCAACGATTGACATCCGAATTAAAAACTGCTGAACGCAATGAACGAAAAGCTGCTACTGAATTACGTAATCAAGAACAAAAACTCGTCCGTGAGGAACAAAACCTTCAACGATGTCGGGAAAAAGAACAAGCAGCTAGTCGACGTCGTCAAGAAACTGAACATGAAGTAGAAATGATGGAGACAGATCTAGAAATAGCTACAGCAGCTTTACTCATCGCTGATTTAGCTTTAACTGCGTTAATTGCATTGACAATCGTCAATCCTTTGGCCGGTATGTTCTGCATAGCAATCAAACAAGCAGCTGTAACAGCAGCTCAACATGCAGTAGGAAAAGCAGAGCAGAAATTGGGAGAGAAGAAAGCACTTCTGGTAAAACGGGTGAGTGATCATGAAACTGCCCAAGCAAATCGAAAGAAATCCGAAGAAATATTAAATGTCAACAGAATTAATCTTGATACAAGAAAAAGTGATTTGACCAATCGAAAACAAGATGTAGTTACAGAGAAAGATAAATTAAGTCAACAAAAAACCGTCGTCGAAAATGTTACTCAACAATCGAAAGGACTTCGAAATGAACGTGGAAAAATTCAATAAGACAAAACTGGAAAGAACAAAGATATTCGTGACAAGAAAACGGAACTTAATAATCAGCAAAATAAAGTGAATATTACGAAGATAAATGTCGATCAATTAACAAAAGATCAGATCCAATGTCGTGACAACATTCAACGAGCTGCAAATAAAAAAACATTTTATCAAACTGAATATCAAGGCAAATTAAGTGAAATGCAATCCAAAGTTAATCAATTGCAGACAAGTCAAGATGATAAAACTCGTATGAAAGAAAATATTGAAACAAATCGAAAAGAAATTGATCGTGCTGAAAAGGAATTTACTATGAAACAACGAGAAGAACATCCAGTGACAAATCAAATAAAAAATATTGAAGCAGAATTATTGATGGTAGAAAAATCAATCTTTAATCTTCAATCGGATCTTCGCGAAGAGAAGAATCAATATGGAAAAATAAACAAAGACAAATTAGCATTAGAAAAAGAATACAAAAAAACCCAGAATATATTGAAGGCTTTGAAAGGAGATATTCAAACACAGGAAAATCTTCGAAAAACATTAGATCAGAATTTACAAACAAAACATCAACAATTAATCAATCAGGGTGGTTCCATGGTACTTGTGACACGTTCACACTGACCTTCACTAA